TGGCAGGAGGGGAAACAATATTATGTATATAAATCCCAAGTACCCGTGACCGACTTTCTTAATGGAAGGAAAATATTGTTATGCATAAAATTCTAAGTACTAGTGACTGTCTTTTTTGGTAGGCGAGGAAACATTATTTTGAGTAAATTTTAAGTACCTGTGATTGTCTTTCTTAACAGGCGGAGAGATATGCTATATATGAAAAAATAAAGTATTCGTGCCTGCCTTTATTGGAAGTCAACACTGACCATACATGACTTTCTTAGAGTGGTGGGAAGGCCTAGCACCCCGATGAAAACCCATATAGGGGATGGCACCAAGGAGCTACTGAAATTTACAATAAAAAATGAATGACTAAGATAAATTTTAAATAAAATTGAAATCTAACCAACTCCTAAGTCAAAAAAATTAAAGAAAGGCATGAAATCCTAAGTTTTAAATATTGAAAAATAAAAATGAACAAAAATCAAAATGTAATAAAATAAGACTTACGTGAACTTGTAGGAGAATTGATTGCACGGTAGCCAACACAAGCACAAATTAGAGTTTCCCCTTAGCTCCTAGCTCGTGCACACACTCAAATCCCTTAACGACACATGCTCTTTGAATTGAAATGTGCAAAGAAATGAACTAGGATCAAGCTACTTATTTATAAACCAAAAGAGTGATCCCTTTGTGGGAACCATTGAGTCAAACTTTAAATACAAATTGACAAAATGGAGGGGTGCCCTAGGTAGCGTACATGTCAACTATTAAAGGAAAGAGACTCGTATGGGCCTCGTGAACACTTATATTTGAAAAGAAACAAAATATCATATTGTTACATGCCATAAGTTGCACGACCCCTCATTAAAGTACGTGTGATATACCAAATCACTAAAAGGGGTGTCTCTTATGAGTCTCCAGTTGTATAATACGCATACATCAAAGACATACAAACGCGTTATACAGATAAATCAAGTAACATGTATGTATACCGTCAATCATATGAGCGCACTAAGTAGCATGCACACATACTGTCAACCATGCAAATGCACTTTATAAATGCACCAACAATCATGCAAACATATAAAAGCAGCATGCATGCACACTAAATATACAAATGCATCATGCATGTGCAGTAAGTAAAACACAAGTGCCTCAGATAAAGTGCACTAAAATACATGCAAGCATGTCACACAAATGCACTATGAATATGCAAGTTTATTGCATGAGTGCACTATAAAACATGCATAAGTGCTGTGAAAATGCATAGAAATTCATGTATATACATTGTATGAACATATTATAAGACATACAAATGTGTTGCATGAGTGCATTATTGAACATGCAAATACACTATGCAAATGTACTATATAATATATAGAGGTTTCATGTACATGTATTATGCAACATGCAAATACATCATATATAGTATTGTCCAATAGTATAACCTGCATATACACTATCTGATATATAAATATATTATGCATGCAAGCCACGCAACGTATAAATGCATTATTTATACGATACAAATATAAATATAACATGCAAATGCACCATACAAACATACGTATCCATATGGGTCCTAACGAGTGTGACAAATGCACACACATGACATCTGAAGATACTATAAGGATTGAAAAATAATAAATGAATTTTAAATCTACCGCTCTAAAAGTGTATACAAACATCATACAAGTACACTAAAATACATACACATATCTAGGGGTGTAAACGAGTCGAGTCGGGCTCGAATCACCCTTGGCTTAAGTTTTGATTAATTAATCTAGTTTGAGCTCAAGCTCAGGCTTTAATTTACTAGTTCAAGCTAGCTCACAATCCGGCTCATTTATTATGAAAGGGAGAAAATAATTATAATTTAAGCAATTATTATAAAAAATGAATAAAAAAATGATAAATCATAAAAATTAATAATAAAGAATCACTTAATATAAGAGAGAGACATAAATTAAACATTTTTAATAGATTTGTACTTAAAATCCTAAATTTAATATATTTTAAGTATATTTTATTTTAATATTTTTGGGCTCACGAGCTAACTAGTCGAGTCGGAGATTGATCAAGCTTTGCTCGCTAGCTCACAAGCTCGGCTCATAGGCCATTTATCTAGTCGAGCCTGAGCCGACTTACGAGTCGGCTTGACTCACTTATACTCCTACACATATCATTTAAAACAAAACTTAAAATACATGCATGCGATCCAACAAGTGTGTTACACTCTTAAACCCTTGCCTGAGAATATTGTGCTGGTCAAAAGTAAACTTAAAGTTCAAGTCTGATCCTCCTCTTTGAATGGACCAAAGTTAACATGACTTGAACCACCAAACAAATGCACAATCATAGCGCCAACTAGAGCATTTAGTTTTATATGGTCACATTAGGCCTTCAAGGCCTCTTATAATATATGTTCACTCAATAAAACACATTCTACGGACTGATGCTTCTTGAATTAACCTGAGTTTTTTTTTTTAAATACGTTCACATTAATCCCCAAAGGCCTCTAACAAGAAAGTTTCACTACTAAAAACATACTCTCAAAACCAATACTTGTTGAATTCACCAAAATAGATAACTTTATACATTTTCATTTTAAAATACATACTCTGGGTTCCAATATTTATACGACAATGCTGAAAATTAAGAGCAAAATCTGATCCTCTGTTGGAAAATAAATAGAATCGATAAGGTTCAAATAATAAAAAAATTTATCTATAGATCCCGATGATAGCCGTGTTGAAAGTTAATCTCAACTGGAATGAATTCTACCTTTTAAATACCTCCAAATTTGTATAAAATAAAAATATTTTAAACTGATATTTTTCTCACTCTGATGATGGTCGTGTTAAAAGTTAATCTCAACACAAGGTCTAAAGAATATCACTAAGATTAATTCTAAAATCAATGGTTACCATTAAGGTTGTGGCACATGTCCTCTAACTAGTGGTTTCACAGCCAAATGCAACCTAGATAAACGGTTATGATCGGAGCCCTCTTACTGGGTGGATCTACCACTAAATTATAGTCACGATCAGAGCCTATATGTTTCTCAACTGCTCTAAATCCTTGAGTAACGAATCAATATGTTACAATCGATAGAACATAAAGCCCTTTGTTAGCTAAGATGGACTCAAATCCATCCTCTTAGGCAATCATTCACCTCAAATCTACATGGTAGTCTTAGAATGCCCATTGTTGCCAATAAGGATCATTCGGTCAAGTTGGGTCAAGTAACTCCTCTAACTAAGTAGACTGGGAACCACGACAGCCCGGGACAACATAACCATGAAATCTTGATCGGGCCCGTCATCATTCCCTCATCATTCCCTTTAATTAAACTATAATGAATTTCAAATCTTAAAGTTTCACAAGTCAAATTTTAAACCCCTAAAATTGCTGCTACTATACATTGGGTATTTCGTGTCTATCCAACGACGGGCCTTAATTAAAAGTGTTCTCTCGAAATCGGGAGGGGTTGTTAACCATAGGGAGCTTGCACCCATATGAGAAACCAGACCCCAGATACTAAAGTCCTCACAAAATTTGGGAGAAATCTTTGAGTGGTATCTTATCTAAAATCCAATACACTTTCTACAAATTCACACCAAAACTAAACTCGTTAAAACTCTACTTGCTGACAAAGAGGGGGCGGAGAGGCCGGGAGTGAATTTTCAGAGCCCATATCAAGCAATTTCGAGAAATATTCCCCTTCAACATACTTGTCAATCAACTCAAATATAATTGTCCTCTTTTTTTACATTTCTACATTATTATTGTACAGTTGTGTATTTAAGCAGACAGTCATAACTAATAATGCTTGCCCTCTCTAAATTCATGAATACATTGATCCCGTGAAAATTTGTAAGAATGTAATAGCTTGCTAAGGGTGAAACAAAAAAAAAGACTGGATCTTAATTAAGAGCCTGTTTCACAGACTTTAAACCATACTTGAATTAATATGGACCAGAAAAACTTGACAAAATAATCATAAAATGTTGATCAAGCAAGTAGGTAGCATTCTTCTGGAAGTGATATGTGAATTAAAACAATTACAGTTTTTAAAATATGTACATATATCACTGATCATGACCCTACTAATGATACCAGTTCCCTTATTTCAGGTCATGACCATTAATGGATCTGAACAACAGCCAATTTTATCAATGTGAACTAAAATAATTCCAGTTTTTAAAATATGTACATATACCACTTATCATGACCCTACCAATAACAGTTCTCTTATTCAAGTCACGGACACTAATGGATCTGAACAAGAGCCAATTTAAACAATGTTCTTCCAAGAATTTTTGGGCGGGGTCCTCCACTACTTGCTTAGCCAATCTAAAGCTTAATATATTTTGCCTGCCAGCAACCATTTCTTCTGATTAGATTTCTCCCTCTGTAAGGATAGGCTTCATAGGGAAGCAACTCCCACTTGAATGAGAACTTCACTGGAGATTTGCAACAGCACAATGGCATCCATACCAACATACTGACATTATTTGAGTTGATGTCCATACAACAACAACAAATTTTTATCTCACCACGTGTAGTCGGCTACATGAATCATTTTTCACCTTTGTGTCCTATTAAGAAGCACATTGTCATTTAAACCTATAAAAAAAGGTCATCTTTATTTTTTTTCCAAGATAAACTAGGCAGCAATACCAAGTGGATCTAATTATTGAAATATAAATTACATGAATCATATATAATTATTTTCCATGGCATACCATATGCAATTAGGAACTCCCTAACTTTGACTGCCAAAAATAAGATTACAAACGAGAAATTGGAGCTTAACTTTTTACAAAGTATTTAAATAATCAACGGGACCACAATCAACCATATCAAAAGTCAGAAATAATCAACAAGAAAGAAGTTAGAACTGCATTGGAGGGGCTAAAAAATCCAAGACAAATAAAATATCACGAGTAGTAGTGCATCTAAGCACTAACCCATTACAAACACTAATAATATAAAAAATAGTTAGGAGACACCATTTCTGACTTCAACTGCTGCTGCTGCTCCAATAGCTTCATTTCCAGATCCTTGAATAAAAAAACAAGTAAAATCAGATAAGAAGATATCACAAAATAGATGCAGCATTGAGAGCTCAGTGCCTCACCCGTAATCTAGTTTTCTTAGCTTCTTGTATAGCATATTCAGAGCATCCCTCAATTTGGGTTGACGGTTCTGCTAAAAGAAAAATGCGGTCAAGATAAACCAAAACAGGCTCTTGACCTAGCTTGCTCCATGGTACCTACATAGACACAATATCATTAATGTAACAGCTATATGAGTAGCCTTTTCTAGAAAAAACAGTACTCTTCCAGGTGAGGTACGGGCTGTCCAGCACAATGCTTAGCAAATGAAATCTACATAATAATCCACATCTTCCTAATTTCAAATAAACACCTTGTCACTAAATATTTATCAATTTGACAATGCATGTACATTTTCTAAATCAATAATGTCAAACAAAAATAAACAAAGAATCATATCCAACCTAATGATATCAAAAAAACAATTGAAGGGGCATATCTCGCAACCCAATATAATCCAAGCTTAAGCGCCCTGCCAAGCCATTTGCATTTAATAATTAGCCCAATAGTTTGTTTGAATATTCAATACAAAATCAAAAACTTTGCCTGGTGCAGTTGCACTTGAACCATTGGCTTTCAATCCAACAGTCTTCCTTCACCCAATTAAACCAAAGAGCCAATCATTCCATCGCACCAATCCTAACAGATAATTTCGCCCAACTCAAGCCATAACTAGCCACTGTCATTGCACCTGCGTACAACGAATGCTGCCAATAATAAAATACCATTGAGCTAACATCATCCGTCCTATAAAAAAGCCATACCCCAACTGCCGCCATCATTTTCCACCTTTCATAGGAACATCTTCGATGTGCCATTTTGCCACTTGCTTCTTTCTTTCTCCAGGCCACCCCACCATTTCAGACTTCCTCAGCTTAACAACTATCCTAATTGACAACATATCAAAGCCAACCAACAATTAATGAAAAGACTTCCTTTGCCCCATCGTTTCCATTTCAACTTTCTCCTCCTCATCTTATATTTTATTTCATTATAATTTATGTTCTCATCAACCATTCATACTCCACATAAACTCAATCACTCAAGTTAACATCTCGAATGCCAAGATCCAACACTACGATTGATACGTCGTCAAAAAATTATCTTAATCAGGCGCGAATCTCGATGCAAAATCAAATTGGAAACTTCAAAAATTAATTCGGAGACCATCCGAAATCCGATTTCAGCAAACTTACAGTCGAACTGAGTATCTCGGAAATACAAACCCAAAGACACCAAATTCGACTCAATACGAGCCCAAATGGGTATCAAGGACCCGAAGCGTTGTTGGAAGGTTCAAACCACAAATTGGATTACCAAACGGTTTCCAAACATAACAAGCTTATACTCGAATCGAGCGGCTCGATGAGACGAATCCAACAAGCCCAAGATCGCCGAATTCCAACATCATTAAGGTCTTCAAATGTCTAAAGAACGGTGCATGATCAAGGGATTCAACATCGGCCGTTCATCCGATTACTCCCCATTTACCCTTGATCTCTCACCTATTTACGGGTCATGTCACTCCAGAAATCTATAAATAGAGCTCTCTCTCCTCTTAAAAAAGAACCCCTAAGCCTAAGGAAAAAAGAGAGAGATCGGATATCGCTCTTGCTTCCTTGCCTCCTTGACCACCACCGGAGTTTTGCCAGACCACCACCGTTGCTCCGCCGGACCACTACCTGAGGCCCTCACCTCCGCCGACCCACCGCCTGACGCCGTTGCTCCGCCGGACCACCACCTGAGGCCCTCACCTCCGCCGGACCACCGCCTGGCGCCGTTGCTCCGCCGGACCACCACCTGAGGCCCTCACCTCCGCCGGACCACCGTCTGACGTCGTTGCTCTGCCGGACCACCACTTGAGACCCTCATCTCCGCTGGACCACCGCCTGACGCCGTTGCTAGGTCAAACCACCACTTGAGGCCCTCATCTCCGTCGGACCACCGCCTGACGTCGTTGCTTCGCCGAACCACCACTTAAGGCCCTCACCAGGCCACCACCTGACGCCCAGACTTCTTCTGGGCCACCACTTGACGCTGAGAGTTCTCCTGAAGAACCGCCCTCCTAATACGGTCTTTCTGACCCCAGCTTCTGCTGACTACGGTTCTTCCGACCTCCATCAACAGACAACGATCTTTCTGACCCCGGTCTCCTGCCAGACAACGGTCTTTCTGACCTCTGTCTCTTGCCGGCAATGGCCCTTCCAACCAAACAAACATGTCTATGTTGATTATTGTAACTCCCACCATGTAATGCGCTCTATATGGCATATATTTGTAACATCAGGCCAAGGTCTTCTCCCTAAGAAGGGCCTCATTTGTAATCAACTGCAAATACTAGTGGATTCATTCAAACTGGGCCATGCCCCGTGGTTTTTCCCCCTTTTCAGGGGTTTCCACGTAAAAACTCTGGTGCCTCTTATAAATGCTACACCCTCTTTCACTTATCTATTTGTGTGTTGGATTTTCGTACAACGCTAAGACGCTAAACTTTATAATTCTCTACCGCCACGAATACTCCAGGACGCAACAAAGATCATCCTTCCTCGATCAATCATATCCATTGCATGCATCATTCACAGCTAATGCTGAGGTGAGTATTGAATAATTTCATATGTTGAACTATTCAAACAGACCCAATTAGAGATCTGACCAACCCCAAATGGTGGCACCCCAAACCCAACCCCATCTTTGGAGTTCAATTGTCTGCATAACTCAGAAATCATAACCTAGTCCAATCCATTTCAACATAAACAATAAATAACTTTCACGCGGCCTAAGGATTAAGGACAACACTCAAATAAACAGAGGTGCTTACACAGGCACAACATAACAACATTACTTCAATCAACTGCAAATCGTGGTGCAATTTAGTATATGAGATCTCACAAACCTTAAGCCTCACAGAGCCAAGAAATCCAGCTTTTACTTTCACCGGTAATTTTAAGGCGTTGAGTGCCTCTGGCTTGAGCTGCATATTGGTTAGTTCCACATCGCCTGCAACAAAAGTTCAAACAAAGCAGAATTACATGAGATCATAAGTGAGGAAAAGCAACGAAATAAGAAAGCACAAAAGAAGCAAAATGAATAATAGATTTTAACAAACTTCTATGAATTTGATTTCTCAATAGTTTCACCAACACGGTTCTAATAACTGCATTAGCGCAACAGCTGTGCCTTCCTTATTTTAATGGACAGGCTGAAGAGTCTTGAAATCCTATGAAAAGGTAATTGAGACTAAAAGTCTGTATTTGTAGCCTCAAAGAAGCTATGAAGAAGAGAAGTGCTGACAGTATAAATGGTTAAGAGACCAATTACACTCCATCATCCTCAGCCTTCTAAAAGAAAATTGAGAATAGCAACACAATGACAACTCCTCCATGTGGGCTGAATGTAGCAAGAGGATATCACTAGCTAGCCTTATCTTTTTTTTATTCTGATCTCAAAATATATGTGAACGTATGTTGACAACACCAAAATATGATTGAAATTACAAATGCCTATACTAAGGGATTTCAAGATTGAGAATTAGCAAGAATTTTAAAGCAAGTGGCTCGAAATTTTGGAATGGAAGAAAACTAAAGGCAAGCTCAAGGGCATCAAGTAAAGATCATTTGGAGCTCAATAAGTCTCACTGAGGTCATTAGAGCCATTAGGAAGTTTAGATTTATAATTTGCAATTTGATTACATCTTGGCTCTAGCTCTCCTCAGGAAACCTATTTAGTAAATATCCTAAAATACTCCAAAATTATTTTTTAATATCCAAATTATGTTGAAAATTAATTAAATAAGCATTTGCAAAAATTCTCATGTTAATTTGATCAATATTCTGCTACTTTTTACCAATCATTTTTTTAACTTTTTACAAATCAAATTTATTTTGATTAGATATAAAATTATCTCATGCAAAATTAGTTTCTAATTTTACTACCATTACAGCCACATTTTTTTTTACATACAAACTAATATATCATAATCAATATTTGTAAAGCATTAAACACAATGCAATGCATAAAGGTTCTTTTTTCCTTTCGATGCACAAAGCAGCAAAGCGACACTTTTAGTAATTAGAGCGTTCATGAGTTGTATTTCAAATAGAATATTATGTGCATAAAATAATTATTTAATTAGAAAAATTAAGACTACATCAAGGAATAAATTTTTAGCAAATATAATGATATTTTCAATAGCAATAATTTATAACTCTTTGAAATCCCAATATATATATAACTAGCACCAACAATAAGAACAACCGGAAAAAAAAAGGGAGCAAACATGAAGAGAAGAACCTCCAATAAGCAACAGCTCAAGTGAAAGATAATGGAGAACCAACAAGCAATAACTCAATGAACAAAAGAGCAATGAGAAGAAGTAAACAATTGTGACTTATTATTATATGACGTACTTATTAAAAAAACTCATTATATTGCAAAACAAGTAAAAATTTTCATCTAATTACATTATATCCCATTACCCGTACCTCCAGAACACACAACAATAGAGCTTACCAAATCCGCTCTGACATAACCCCATTGGAGTCCCAGTGTTACAAGCATCACCAAATAAAGGGAAAACTGCACTCAACAGGTAGTGTTTCATCCGCTGAGAGCAACAAGTTATAGAAAGTGGGATTTAATTATTTAATAAATCCTACAATGTTTTCAAAAGAGTTTGATATGCCTGCATATAGAAGAAAACTAGCAGGCTTAAAAACTGATGTTTCTGTCATTAAAATTTTGAAGCCCTGAAGTTCTCTCCAATCCCCTTTAGCAAAATCCTTTACACATTATCGAAAGACTATGAATCATTTCTAAAAGCTTAAGAACTAAAAGTCACACCATTTGCAACCATAATGAATTTTAACAAGCGATATAAGTCATTTGTCAAATTGAATAAAGTTTTCATCTCTTTTTTTTTTTTTTTTTTTTTGCAATATTTAATTAGATCAAATTTTGTAAAATATATGGTTTCGTTTCATTTTCCTTTGCTTAGCAATTGAAAAGGCTTAGCGTGTGCCATGTTTTTAATTAGATTGAGTTGCACTTGCCTATAAGAAGGAGAGTGTGTAGGGTGTCACAATTTATCCACCAAGTTGAGGAGTAAATGAGTGAACCTTGTAGCTGCATGCTTTGGGTAGTTGAATCCAAATTCAGAAAGGAGAGTAGGATTGGGCATAGGCAAGGATTGGCAAAACAACATAAATATCATGATATTTTGTCTAGTGACAAATTTCATTACATTGCATATGTACTTTCTTGCAATTTATTTTAACTTATGCACTTAAGATTGTTGCTTGCTTTTATTTGCTAAAAATACTAAAAAAAATAAAACAAATTCAATCACCTCCTCTCAGTGTGTGATCTCGTTTAATCTTATTCAAGATTATCAACCCATGTTGGCTGGTATTAACCAAATCAAGCCGATAAATAATCTTCTACCATAAAGATGGAAGAGCGAGCGAGTGAAAACTAATTATATTTAGATTTGCTAATACTTATCTTAAACTTTATAACTAAACCATCCTAGTGAGAGTTCTCAAATAAATCAGCAAATCATTCTTAAGACTTCAGACCATTGGGTTGATGCAACAAGTTTTAAGACCAGGCATTTTTACAATTCAAAAGCAAGTGACGAGTAAGGTCTACTGTCCATCATCAACTATTATATATCAAGGAACAAGAAAAAGCAGCCCCGGACCATAGATCACTTGTTAGATCCGTTTCGCTGCCAAGGTATGAAACAGAAATAGTAGAGCACCCTAAAACAATAAGAATCCAATAGCTGTTGAAACCGTAGAAGCAAGCAAAGCGAAGACCATCCCGCGATCACGTCAGAGTAAATTTGACCTGAACAATATCATTCTGTTCCAAATAAATGGCAAAATAGAACACCAATCATTTCGGTTTCAATCCCAAGAAGCCTTGGTGCACATGACTCCGCGTGTTCTCTCATCAAACTCATCAGGCCTGTTCGACACCAAATTAAAAGGGAAAGAAATGAGAAAAGAAGACCGTACCCCTCCATACACTGATTTTGAGTGCTTCTTTGTTGAGGCCCCGGACGTAGTTCCCTAGATACTTCTGAAGGAGAAATGCTACCTGATCCTCTAACATATCTGCGTCAGTTTAGGGTTCCGGTCGTCGGCAGCGATGCTCAATGCGAGATGAGCGAGGCACTTAGAAAACTAAGATTCGAGTGGACGAGGGAGCTAGCGAACGAGAGCGAGGGCGAGGGAGAGAGAGAGCGTCCATGCGGTGGATTTTGGGGAGGCTCGGTTTTGGGAAACCGGTTGAAGAAATTATTCCTATATTTCCCACGGAGGGAAGAAAACGATATTATTCGAGCGTAATTACAGAAATAACCTTTTTTATTTTATTCGCGGTTTTTTTCATTGTCTATCGACTTTCTCTGCAAATATTATTTATAGCATATTTAAAATCAAAATTTCCTTAAAAACTGAATATGATGCTTTTATTTTTACTTTCAATGTATCTCAACACTCAAAACAATACTTCCTTTTTTTTATCCGAGCGAATTGGTGGATCTCCAAAGTTGGCACTAATTTAGATCAATTCACCTAAAATGAACACAAAAAAAGTAGAGAGATAATGTTCATAATTGTTATTATATCGATATATTACCTTGTGTTAAGTGAAAATTTTGATTTTTTTCATATTAAATTTCAATTAAAATGTATGTTTTAATTGATGTTGTGAATAAATGTCTCAGAAAAAAGTCTTAAAATTTAAAGTTGATATTAGCGTTGTGTCACCAAGGACAACAATGCTGCATCACCTTTGTGTCACCAAGGACAACAATGTTGCATCACCTTTAACACCTCGGTGCGAGAAGGAGAACAATGTGGCACTCAACTTTCTATTAATTTGCAAATTAATCCAGTGCCCCAACAAAACATCATCCAGCATTGTAGCGTAATAAGAGCCTAAGTGCCACAAAATGACATCGTTGTGCTATGCACTATGTCATTTCTGCAAATAAATTAACGCATTAGTGCCAATACTTAAAGCGTCATAATGTTTGAACTAGTTTGTGTACTAAGTATAAATAATCTTTTTTTTTTGTGTGTGGGAAAGGGGAGGTGAAGTGTAGTGAGTGGTTGGTCATCTGTAAATGGAACAAAATATCATTTGGGAGTGGGAAAAGAGGGTGGAGAGTGGACGTACTTAAAAGAGATCAATCCAAGAAATGTTTGTTGTTTAGAATTACTTGCATACGCTTTTTGGGAGATATTTTCTCCACTATTCTCTTTTTATCTTTCTTACATGGTATTAATGGAATATGATAATTCAAAATCATTTCTACAACTGGCTAAAAGCATTGTTTTAGGGTTATGATAGGAATAAATTGTGCTTCTCCTAATATAAACTCTTACATGTGAATTATTTATGATTTTTCTCAGTTACTCTTATATTTAATTTAATTCATGCAATGATCATGTGTGAACTTAAAACCTAATATGATACATGAATATATTGAGTTGTAATAGAAAACTTTCATGCCTAGACATAGGATGAATAAGATTATAGGGACTATGGAGATAATCATTGTGAGGTGAAAACCTTTCTTCACACTCTTATAAGTTCAATAGTGATCTAAGGATAAAGTTTGATTTACAACTAGTTATATGAGTTTATAAAAAACATAACTTAGTTCATTACCATGAGTCCAAAATATATTTTGTTCTGGTTATCTTCATCTTTTTAGCAATTTTTGTAGCAGTAGAACCTCACCTTCATATTGCTTAGTAGTACAATTTTTTTGGCTTGAGTAGGTAGTACTAGAGACATTCGTATCCCATGGGATTGACACTATTCTTATTCACTTTATTAGTGCACTTGCATGACTAGAATCACAGAAGTGTCCCCATCACTTTGTCGGTGCCCCATTGTCAAAATTTACAGTAAAAAAACTATGGTGATGTGTTATATACAATGTGATAGTCTACAAGATCCGATAAAGAAGGAATAGGTTAATGTGATAAGGGAATTAGAACTCATAAATACGAACAATCATGACTATAAAGCTATTCCCTAAAAAATAATTACATCTAACAAAAAAGTTGTCTTGTACAATAGAGATAAATATCTTTTTAATCCTTCTTATCATCATCGTAATTGGCTAAATGCCAATCTACATCAACGCTTACCTGGCCACCAATCACCAACTGTCACCTTCATAACTCATTAAGAGTCCGAAGTGAAATGTGATTATTTGAAATGAGGAAACATATAGTTCAAGTGCTTGATTTCATCAAGGAATCAAGAGTGAGCATGAATTTATTTTCCATATTGGCAATTATGGGATTGTTGGATTTAATTGAGAGGCCTGACAAGCCGAACAATGCAAAGTTTATATATATATATATATAAGCTCGATGTTACGCTTGTAGTAAAATAAGCCTAACTAGCGAGCTTGTCAACTAGTCATGCTTGAATTGAATCACGATCAAACTTATCCAATTTACTCTCATAGATCTTGGGCATCTTTGCTGCTAATTACTTTTCTACCTCATCGCCTTGCTACATCACATAAAATTTTTATAAATCTCATATCTGATGATTTATATTATAATAAGGAGCATCCTCATCATGTGTAGTAGAAAACACATGTTATTTATGATTTGTAATTATTAAATCATTTCGCAAAGTTTGGGTCATTTATTATACCTAACCAGAATAGTTGCTTTGCACATACTCATACTCAAATATGTCCGTACTTATGCATATATAAAGTTTTTATTTATACTTATATAACTACACTTGTAGGGCAAATTTATTCTAAATTCAATTTTTTTACTTGATCAGAGCATGTATAACAAGTTGTAGGCCATTAATACTCCTTATATATATATATATTTGGTAACACCCAAACTTACATAACATACTTAACTTTAAAAGTTCTTGCCTAAATAATTATTCACATAAATAAACTTTGTATTGAAAAAAATGCATCCATATGCATAGTATTGCATGTAAGGCAAATTTACTTATGGGTTGTTTGGTTGCCTAAAAAAGGAATTCAGTGTAAAGTAAATGCAGTGTATTTAGTATACTTTGAGGCTATTTGGTTATCTGCAAAGTAAATATAGGAGAATTATTTTTCATGTTTGGTGACGTATATGCAGAGTAAAGTAAAAAACATTTTATTTTGAATACCTTGGTGTTGTTTGGTATGATGTGCATTATAATATTGAAATGCAATTAATAACAACAATATAATTTACTATTTTAAAATAAGATATTTATTATTTAAACATTGTGAAATTTTCTATATTGGAATACTTCAAATTGAAAACAATATATATAAACCAACTTTTATTATGTAACAATGCGATCATAAAAATTAGCAATCATATCCAAATTCAATTTAACATTGCTACAAATATACCCAACATGACCATATAAGAAACACATGTCATGGAGATGATTGAAGGAAACAAGTGTCATTATTGTTAACCTTATTTTTTGTATGAGGCCATTAGGACCTATCCAGACCCCTAATTATTGATCTAGTGATTGATAGTTATCCAGCTTTCAACATTCACTTAACATTTCTTGCAATCGTCTAATCTACCACCTTCTAGTATATAGTCAAATCTTCATTTGATAATCATCTATTCAATCAGTCAATCACATTAGCCTGCTAACTAGGGCAGTGGACTAACCCAAAGAATTATGAATATAATTTAGAACTCTATCTATCCCTAAACAATATTTTTCTTTGATATAAAAATTATAGAAACCACACTTAATGTACATAAGTATACGTGTCGAATCAAGTAATATAACGATAGAGTATAATATTGATCCCACGAGGAAGAATATTTACTTGTAAACACTAGTATTGTCTACTACAATTATAATAATTATTCTACTCAATAAAAATAAGTGTTGGTGGAGATTCAATCACTTTTGTAAAAATCAATATCAAAATAATGGATACACTTACATGAATAAAATATTTTGGATTGATGAAATGTAAATTAATATGTTTCTTAATATTTTTTTAATGTGATGTTATTCAGAACATATGCATCATCAACCGTTATTTTAAGTGTGAAGAGACAAAGAAAGAAACTAACTCATTTCACTCTCAATTTCGCTCTAAATTCCTATAGTCTATCACCATATGAAAATCTTAGAAGAGTAAGTAAGGCATGCATTGTTAATTACCTCCTTATGACAATTCATTTCTATAAAGTTGATTAATAATAAACATTATGCCTATGTTTGCATTATACCAATCTAACATACTTTGTGGTACAGAGGCCCCCCTCCCCCCCCCTCAAAATTAAAGCCGGTTCCGCCCCTGTTGTGGTACCTACTTCTAGGCTCCATATTACATCTGATATTAACTATACATATGGATATTATGTGCATTAAGTGAAGATCTAATATATTGAAAATATCATATCATCACTTTAAAGATTAAGAAAAATAATTAGTACTCCATATTTAATTTATATCATCAATTCAAAATTAGAGAATTTAATCAGACATAAAAAACAAATGAAGCAAACACATTTCCATTAATTGCATAAAAGAAATGAAGTATAGAAGAAAAGATATCACTAGATGGTTTGATAATCTCCTCTACACTCCTCCTTGAACTTACATAACTTCTTCCACAAACACTGACCAAACACTCTAATGAAGTGGATCTAGTGTTCCCAGAATTTCCTTAGTTGTTACTCTTAAGAAAATTTCAGAGAGATGCTCTAACAATCTGAAGTCTGACTTTTATTGAGTGAATGAACTCTCATACAAGCATTACAAATGCGTTATTCATAGAAAAAAAATGGATTCTAGCACCGCGGCACTCGAGACACGTACACCATGACGCCTATAAAATAAACTAACGCTACAACGATGAAGGGTTTACTCTGATGCAATGCTCGCTAACATGAACCCATTATTTAATGAATCGACGTGTCACCTCACTTGCAGAACATGTCTTAAAATGGTTACAACTATAGTGATGCGATGTTGCTAATGATTGAGCACTACGACATCCACGTTACACTTCCTTGGCTTGGTGACACTGACTTTTGACACTGCAGTGTTGTACAGATAGAGATTGGGCTTTATGGTGTTGACTCCGCCGGTGCTGCGATGCTGTTTAGACAGAGACTAGGCATCGCCATGTCCACTTTTGATGCTTCGGTGGTATCAATGATAGTGTCGTGGCGGTATTGTGTCCAATGTCGTGGCGTAATACCAATACTTGAAATTTTTTTTTCATTTTCTTTATTTTTTTGCATAAGT